CCGCGCGCCGGCAAACGCGTCGGCGCCGGGCAGGGACGCGGCGGCGGCGGGCGCAGCGGTGGCGGCCCCGACGCTGGCGGCGGCGGGGAGCAGCGTTGCGCCATCTGGGGCTATGCGGCGGCGGATGTGCTGCAGCTCGTGCGCCACCTGCTCGAAGGTCGGCCTGCCGGGGGGTGGGGGGGGGGGGTCGGCACGGGGCAGCAGGCCGGCGGGCGCGAAGTTTGCAGGCGCTCGCCAAACGCGGCGTTCACGGAAGCGGCGGGGCTGTGGTTGGGCCGGGCGCCGTGCGGCTGCGCCCCAAGTGGGTGCGGAAGAACGGGGTGCAGTGCAGGGTGGCGGACGAGATTGCGGGCCTGGACTGGCAATGGCTGGGCGCGGGCAGGGCAGCAGGGGCCAGCAAAACCCAGACACGGCCTGATGCCCGCTGCCCAAAGCCACAGCCAGCACGCGCCCGCCTCGCGGCTGCCTCGCGCCCGCCGCTCCACCAAGCCGCGCGGCAGGCCGCCGGGCAGGGGCGCCCCACCAAGCATACGCAGGAGCCCCCCCCCTCTGTGCCCGAAGTGGCGCCCCTGACCTGATGGAGGGGTCACTCTCCCAGCAGCGCACCGCCAGCAGCTGGAACTCAAACGGGCACGCCGCCGGGAACACTGCGCGGCACGGCGGCGCGCGGGCGCGCGGAACGCAGGGTAAGGGCCGGCGAAGGAGGTCGGGCAGGCGCCTGAGCGCGGACGAAACGCGCGGGGCACCCACGTGCGCGCGGCGGCGCCCCGGCGCGGGCCCCCACCTTTAGTCATTGCCAGCCGTCCAGGCTATGCGATGGGCATGCCCCCGCGGCCCGCGGAGCTCTCCAGCCCCTCCCCACAACTGCGCCCTCCAACCCCGCCCCGATCCTGGTAGCCCCGCACCCTTCTACAATCTCGCTCCTCCTCTTTCACAAGCAAAGCCCAGCTACCACGATCCATCACTCCCCCCCAAATGAGTGACCAATCCCCCAGCCGTTGGCCCCCCATCCGCCCACCTGGCCGCCTGTTGAGGCGCACGACCTCGTACCCGAGCATGGCCTTGGCCACGCCCTTGAAGGCGCTCTCCCCGGTGTACAGCTCATACAGCAGTATGCCAAACGCGTACACGTCACTGGGGCGGGAGATGCGGCCCAAGTCTAGCGTCTCGGGGGCCTTTTGGGGGGTGGGGGTGGGGTGGGGGTTTCGAGGGTTGTTGGAGGTGCGGGGTTGTTCCCTGTCAACAAGGGGTGTCCCCTCGCTGCCCGGGAAGCGTGAGATATTTATCACCAGTGTGTGTGGGGGCAGGGTGAGGTGGGGTTGAGGGGGCGATGCAAGGTAGGGTGCGGGCGCACCCGCGAGGAGCAAGCCAGGCGGGACGGGCGCAGGCGCGCGGGCGTGCGGGCGTGGGTGCACGAGGGCGGCCGCGAGCTGAAGCGGCGGGTATCTGACAGCTGCACGTGGCGGCCATAGACCGGGCGCAGCACTCCCCAGCCGGCACGCACGCCTCGGGCCCCTCCGGGCGGCGCACCATGTGAGTCATCGTGCCCTGTCGGGCGGCGCAGCAGGGGGTGGGTTGGGGGAGAGGCAGGCGCGGCAGGGTGCTGGGTGCAGGCAATAGAGGTGTCAGCATGTCTCCCGCAGTCAACTAACCTAACACCCCCCATCTTTGAACCAAGATAGCTGAACGCTGAATGCCGCCTGCAGCAAAAATGCATGGACGTCTGCGCATCTGCAGGGCGAGGGGCGCGGCGCATGAGTACGCAAGAGGGGGCTGACATGGCGCGCACCTGGAACAAGTTGCTGATGTGCGTGGCGCCCGGGTCGATGCGGATTGACAGCCCAAAGTCCCCGACCTGGGGTGTTGGGGGGAGAGGGGGCAGGCTGTGTGAGCTCCTGGAGTTTTATAGAACAGAATTGGGGAGGGCGGGGCTGGGAACGGCAAGATGAAGGCGCACGGCTGGATGAGAAGGATGCGGATCAAAATCAAAGTGCTGACGCCGAGGGCCGCACACCGAAACGAAGCAGGCGGGCCGCAACGGGCGCGTCGGGGGCGGGGCGCGGGCAGCCCCACCTTTGCGGTGAACCCGCGTGGGTCGGTGCCCGTGGACTTGAGCAGCACGTTGCGCGCCTGGTGAGTGGGGGGAGGGGCAGGGCGAAGCCGCGATTGGGGCGCGAGGAGGGCCGGGGCCGCGCGACAAGGCGCCCCCGGATCTCGAGGCGCGCCGGCGCGCACGCGCTGCGCGTGCGCGCACACACCGGCAGGGGTAAATGAGTGCCTGCATTGCTTTGCAACACCCTCCCCCTTGCTCAATTTAACACGCAAACAAACACACACACACACACACACACACACACACACACACACACACAAAACACACACACACACACACACACACAC